TAAGGTAGGAGACACCTTATAAACAGCTACTTTTGAAGTGGGGACACATGGTTAATATACAGCTTCTACAGGTATACTGATTTACCATATATACCGATTGTATATAAGGAGTCCCCCTCCTACCGGCCACACCTAGGCAAACAAACCTGTGGTAGCTTTACACAAGGGTCCCCTCCCCTTTTATCTGACAGATCTACTCATGTATACCTGTGACAGCTGTATAATAAGGTATCCCTAATGTGTGTTTGTAGGGGGAGGTGAACATAATACACAGCTACAAACAGATGTATATATCATCAGGTGTGTTGGTGTAAAGGGGGGGAGGGGCTCCTAATATATGGTAAATCAGGTGTAATGGATAGGGCATTTAATATACAGCTACCATATACATGATTGGGTGTATTTGTAGGGGAGGGAACACCTAATATGCAGTTACTACAGGTACATATTACTTTTTGATGTTGTACATATTACTTTTTGATGTTGTAACTGACAGAGATGTGTCAGTTCAATTCTATCATAATAAAAGCAACCAATTAATACTTCAAACCTGTAAAATCCCTGGTAATTTTCGTAAATATATATAATATATACACCCCTAAAAATCTCAAGACTATTATATTGATGAAATGTAGTGAATGTTCATATCATATCTACAAACACCAAAAGCAAATGTTTTGTGTATGAGGAGAAGTGCGCAGCCTTTGCTATCCTTTGGGTAATGCCACCACCTTAAGAAAATGTGAGTGCTTAATAGTTCCTAAGATCAAACACTGTGCAAAGCTGACTGGCATACCATACAATCTGCAATGTATATATAATATACATGTTTTCTGACAAAGGTTCTAGCTCATAAAGTAAGCTCACACTGGATATGATCATCTACCTTTAACTCATTCACCCCTGAAGACCCGTTTGAACTCTTCCAATTCAAAGGTTGGAATAGTTTATTATGAAACTTCAGGGGTGAATTTTGTATTCTCCTTTCTTCAATTCGATCAGTGCATGGTCACTAGCCCTTTTTGAAAGCAACAACTGTCAAATTGTAATATTTTTAGTCTGAAGACAATAAGGAGTAATAGAAAGCAGAAAAAAATATTTTCTGAAGTGGGTGGATGAGTATTGCTAATGCTAGCGGAGTAAAGACACTGTTCAGGGAAGACATTGTGAGAAAACACAATGAATTTGCGGTTTGTGTATTATTTGTCCACAGACTTTAGTGATGGGCAATCGGCTTAAAATCATATTCGATAATTGGTTTGTAATCGTAAGTAGTAAACTGATTGATGAGCAACTGCATAATTGCTTGATAATCTTATGGGACTGAATACCCAAAGAAAGTGAGAACATTGTATATATACATCAATTCATAATGCAATAGACAGAGTTGATAACTAACTATAGATTAGGTTTGTTTCTTTAATAATGAATCAATTTCAAACAGCTTTTAAGCATTTTTTGTCAGTCATATAGTAAAAGTCATAAGAGTATTAAAATGACATTCAATGCATACTTTATTTACACTGTAGACATTTGACACTTTGATTTCAGTAATGAACCGATCATGTCGATTATGAAATTTGTAATTGTTAATAAGAATCGGAAAGGGCAAACCATTTTTCGATTAGATAATCAATCATCAGCCCATCACTACTCCACACATATATTGTAGTTTTCTGTATATAACCAAATTGTGTGTGCATCTAAATATACCTTCAGACTATGAAAATTGATGTAGTCGGTCAAGCGAAATGCAATATAGCCTAATACAAAGTAAAGAGAAGGTAAAAATATAGATTAATTACATGTTTACATAATCAAATGCACTAAGAAATATTGAGCCCCCCAAAATAAGTTTCCTGTAATTACTATGCCTGAAAATATAGGGTTTTTATTGGTAATTCATGCATGTTTATTAATGGAAAAGAATCCATTCTGTGTTATTTTTAATGGCTGAATGAGACTGTTGTACACTGACAAATACAATGTATTTAAATGAGGAGCTTGTTTATCCAAAATTAAACTGAATTTTGGCAACACTGAACATTGTAAACGAACAATTATAGAGTCCTATATTTACTTTATTTATAGGGGACCAATTTTGAGTAGAAAGTACTGTGTTTTGAGGAAGCATTGATATTCTTTAAGCCAGCAAGTGTTGCAATTAGTGTTGGAAAAAAACCAATATAAAGTTCATACATGATTTTGAAATTAAAGTGATCACTAATTAGTGGTGTTCCGATGAATCGACTAAGTCGAGCATCAGTCAGTTAAGCTAACAAACTGATTATAGTTAATCGAGTACAAAATCCATGATCAATTTTAGTCGGAATGCTAATGTGTAGATATTATGGAGTTTTCAGTAGACATTTTCCCCAGCTACTTTGTAAAATTGATGGCATCATCACTGCATGACTTACTTTTAGCTGATAGCTGCTAACTAAGACTATATATTACATATTCAGTGTTTGAAGAGAGGTATTTCTTATATTATAATTACAAGGTATCACTTTTTTATTTGCCTAAATGACTCGCAACAACAGTATGGAGGATTTCACTATGTATTTCTGTAAAACAATTATTAATCGATCATCGGTTGGTTAATGGTAACCAATGATCGATCATAACATTTCAACCGATTCCCAACGCTATCACTATATTAATCCAAGTCAACAGTATTAAAACATCCCACATTGACCAACTGTTCAGGTTTCTTTTAGCTTTGACCTTATTATCAACAAATATCTTCGCGTTGGTATACATGCAGGTAAATCAAACTAAAACTGAAGAAAAAAAACTGGTGAACACTTTGATCAAACGGGAACTTCTGGACTAACAAAACATGCTTGTCACTGCATGAAATCGTACAACATTATTTCTTAAATACCATATATCATTATCAGGGCTTTCAGTTGACTCTTGGCACGTAAAATAGACAGGTGCTTTATTTCAAATCCAAGAGTCCAAAGACAATTTTGGGGATCAAAAAGATACCCTCTAGGGTCAATTAAAACCCTGGTTATAGCACAAATTTGTCCTTATTACACAGGAATATATTCTGACTTCTCTAAAATCACTTGACATTTAAAAAAATAAACTCTCAACATGGAACTTAAACCATTATAATAAACACAATGAACTCAATGTTTTCAACTTGTAATATCTGCATATCTTCCCATAAAAACTTGCGATATTGTTTGAAATATAATGATTTATCAATCCATTTTTCAGAACTTTCCAAGGCAATACGTGTTCGTCCTTGTCAAGAAAAATATACCAATGCATGATCATTATTCAACAGTGCTTAGGTATGTGAATGACCCATTAGAGGGGGGTATGTATGAATTCAGTGTTTTGTTCAATAACTGCCAGAATTTTTCCAACTTTTTTTCAAGAGACTGTCTAAACCAAGAGACACAAAACATTTCATCTTGTATTAAGTGACACTACTATTAAGATAACTACAACATCCAGAAAATGAGATAGTTTCGCTCTAAAACAAATATATTAGGACAAAACATTGTATGGTATTTTCTTTCAATTTTAGTAGTCACAAATTAAGTCGTCTTAGTCTTCCATATATCATAAAAATCATTTTCATAAAAAAATGTGTTTGTCTTGTTTTTAAGCGAGTGTGACAAACAGCAGCCGTAAAAAGCTGACTCTTCTCTCACATACCCTACATGAAATACACCTAACAACAATGTAGAAAGTCATCAATAAGTTTAGTGGATATATTTAAATATTAATAATTATATAAGTGTATACAAAAATAAAATAAGGCGAAACAACCTAGGGCAAACAGGATTTAGGCCGAAACAACCCTTAGCGCACACAGGATTTAGGACGAAACAACCTGTAACCTGTTGTTATACAGTAGTATATTGATGATAATACGATTTAACCCACTATGATCATATTTTATTAATTAAAGTAGTAATTATTTTTATGATCATCTTTAAAAAAAAATCTCTTCACTCTAGCTATCAGTTAAATCAGCCATGAGAAATGAGAAATGACTACCATTCTTATATTATATATATATATATATATATATAAGAAATCATGTGAATAATTAAGTGTAACTACCATATATATGCAATATATCCTATTTTTTTAATGAAGCAAAGGAAGTTAAATATTTTTCCCTTTCAGAAAAGAATCTGTATACTGTGTTTATTCATATCATAGAGGAAACAATAACATTTTAACTTGTTCAATTACCAGCACAGCTATATAGTGTCTATACTGGTAACGGGTTGTCTATATACTACTATGAACTTTGATATTTCATCCAAAATGCCAAGAAACAACATCAGTTTGTTTACAGAACACATGACCATTTAATAAGGAAAGACAGGGGATAATATTGCAAGTGAAGCAGATATAACAATGTCTGAATTTTGTGTTAATAAACAGTGCTGGTGCAAAGTATCATACATGACAAGAACAAATTATAACAATATGACATGGGAAGTATTAAATGTTTGTGATTACAAAACAAAAAAATATTTCCCACCCAATCTGGAAAGAGGTGTCTGTGAGATATATTTATTTCTGAAACACCATCGAAGTCACTTACAAGTTATAACTGTGTACACATGTATTGTATGTGTGTATATTATGTGTGTATTCGAACCTCATTATATATTGCCTTTACATATAAGACGATGCGTTATGTATCCGATTCCGGTACGTTCACGATATAATTTTGATAAAAAAGAGCATGACATAAAGACAGCAAACTTAAGGTGCATGACCACCTAGTCCGTGTCTCAAACGAATACCCATGGAAGGTTTAGAAAAGTTAAACTTTCTTCACCTCCCGAACTTTTTCCCCGGCAGTAACCTTATCTGGGTCATTGCAAACGTTACGGTTCCGTCTGTGAAAAGATAAAGTAAACAAGGATACTTATACCGCATACACGGTTAAATGTTTGCCAATACTTACAATTATCTTTACACCATCGGTATTTAATCCTCACAATGTCCATAATTACCTGATGCAATGCCGTAAGTCCATCAATATTTGCAGTGTTGATATCTGCATTCTTTTCGAGCATTCGCAAAACTTCCTCACAATCACCGCTTGAACACGCGGCAAGAAAAACACATCCATCCTGAAATTTAACTTTTCTGTTGTGTGAAGACAGAGAATCTGAAGCCCTATTTGTGTCAGATTCTTCCCAGCGTTTCAATTGATCGTGCCTTCTAAGCAGGGCACTTGGTTGTTTTTCGTCCGCCATGACAGCTGCACACTGAATTGCAAATTCTCGAAAAGATCTCGCGGTAAATCACTGAAATCTCGCATCACACTTTACAGACAAGATGGCGACTGTTATTGGTACAGGGTTGAAAGGCATGGGGTGTATGCGAGCAGCTTCGATTGTTGGCCACAGGCAATCAACATTACATGTTCAAAAGTTAACAAGATGTTGTTCTACAGAAAATACACAAGAACCAGACATTTTAGATAAGACAAAATTGTTGAAATCTGATCGAATGAAGAAGAAAACTGGTAGGTTTTTAATCGAATGTACAGAATATTAATGTACTAGAGCATCGGCAAATCTGACTATATAGGCAGATTTGGCTAAATAAATTGTAGTTCACTATGACTATGTATATAGGACGGATGTAATCAAACAGACACTTACTGGTATTATATATCTCGTGCACGTCGATAAAATTGTTGACCAAACAGGTGAGTTGGTGAAATAAAAAAAAATATTTTTTTTTTAATTGAAATGGTGAATTTTCATCGTTGCATTTTTTCCCTGTCATCATGTGTCCCTTATTAGTATAAAATATAGCTTGTGTGTCTATTCTACATATGGCGTCGATGTCTTCATGAAGAGAAGCATCCCGAAGATGTAGATTCGCACCTCAGGCCCCTTTCACGCAACCTGAAAGAAAAGGACAGGCCCAGATCTGAACAGAGGCTGACCTCAGGAGTATTCTGCATGTGTAGATTGAGGGATCCAGACGCGCCTGACCGAAACTAAAATGCTGACTATTACTAGTTTGCATTATTTCTTAATAAAACAAGGAATGCATTTTGACTGTCCCATCAAACGATTATTTGAAGGATCGAGATACATTTTTAGTCAGTTATTTCAGACTAATTTGTAATTCTGTGTATGCAGAGCTGTAAGGAGTCACTGGTCTGTGGTGCATGGATAGAAGGATTATTTTCTTATCTCTGCCGCTGCTCCAATACAATTGTATACTGGATATTGGATTTTGACAGTCTAAGTTTGTTATCGCTATAATGTCACTCTGGTAAAATCCTATTGACTCGGCAATGGAGAATTTCTCTTTAGCCCAGGGCATTTGGTAGAGCGTAAGACTAGTAAGCCAGAGGTACCTGGTTCAACTCCTAGCAGAGACTTTGAAAAAATAATCATCTAGGTTACATTGGCGCCCACATAGGGACCTGGGAAATATTGACAAATATACTCAGTAAAAATTTCACAAGAATTGCTACATGACCTCTGGAAAACTCTGGACAAGTTCTTTCCTAGAGCTAGGGGGAGTAAGTTACCTAATACCTGGTAAGATCCTACCTCATTAAATAGAGCGTAAGACTAGTAAGCCAGATGTCCCTGGTTCGACTCCTAGCAGAGGCATTGAAAAACTAATGATCTCAGTTACATTAATTCTCAAGAAGAACTTGTGAGAACTTTTCCCAAATTTCTTATGTAGGTTCCCCTTGGTCCATAGTTGTGCATGTATTATTTTGTGACTGACCAGGAAATCTAGTCATCAGTTAGCCCAGAGACATATAAACCCAGTAGTATATACGTCTCTGGTTAGCCTTCTTGGCTTTTGAGAGTTTAAGTTAGTTATCACTATTTCTCAAGAAATAGAGAGTGACCTCACTTCAAACGAAAACTCCCAAACCCAGGCAGCTGTATACAATTTTAACCAAAATGATGCATTTACTGTTGATAAGACTATAAATCCAACTTATATGATAAAAAGAACAATGACGGGAAAAGTCCAAATTTACATAGAGCTGATGAAAATCTTACAATGATGGGTGCCACAATCCCTAAGTTCTATTTAAAGTATCAGCATACTGGAATGGTTCCTAGTATTGTTACACAATATCATTGACACATACCTTCCAAATCCATAGCTACCACAATGTATAACTTGTTTATTGTATGAAATTCATTATATTAAAATATATGTGTCTTTCAGGAGATGATGAATTCATACCATTTGTTATCAGAGGAAAAGAACCACAATCAATTGATAGACACTTTAAGAAATGGACAGTTTTTAAAGATATGGTAAGGATAACAAAAAGCAGCATTCAATACAGTGGACCATATATGATTAGTTATGAAATGTTGTTACTAGTCAAGGCCCATTGTTACGCGGACACATTGTCTTTCCTGTCTGGACACTTTGTCATAAGTGTGCGTTGTAAGTCCTGGCCCATTGTTTTCTTAGTGATAGCACATTGTAGGAACATATTGTAAATTATAGCCATTACCATCCCACTGAGAACACCTTGTCATTGTAGTCCGGGTACGTAACGTTGTCTTTGTTGTGATCAAGGCCAGTGATATTTTTACCCCATTTTTAGTGCCGACTTTAGGTACTTTCTCCAAGTAAAGATTTCCAATTTCTGACCTAACATTTTCCCATTTGTTTGTTAACAAAATTAAGTATGCCATCTTATAAACTGTTGTACAACGTTGTTAAAATTTTTGACAAATAGACGTTTATCTTTGGGCATTGAATTCAAGCTTCAAATTTTGTTTACACATGAGGTTGTTTGAGCGCAATTCAAACAAAATTTCCCTAATATCATACATATGTAACATGTCATAAAATTCCCAATTCATTGTGTTCGCGCAGTAGAATTCTCAATAAAAAAAGGCACCGGCCCTTTAGAAAAAATAGTAAGAAAATCACTGAAGGTACATTGCCTTTGTTGTCAGGGCAAAGTGTAGGCAGGGTACATTATCTTTGTGGTCAGGACACCTTGTCTTTGTTGTCAGGGCACATTATCTTTGTGGTCAGGACACCTTGTCTTTGTTTTCATGGTACATAATATTTGTTGTCAGGGCACATTATCTTTGTGGTCAGGGCACAATGTCTTTGTTTTCATGGTACATTGCCTTTGTTGTCGGGGTAAAGTGTTAGTCAGGGTACATTGTAGGTCAGATCACTATTGTCAGGGCACACTATATTTGTGGTCAGGGTACATTGTCTTTGTTGTCAGGGTACATTGTCTTTGTTGTCAGGGTACATTGTCTTTATTGCCAGGGTACATTGTCTTTGTTGTCAGGGTACTTTGTAGTCATGGCACATTGTCTTTGTAGTCAGGATACATTGTCTTTGTAGTCAGGATACATTGTCTTTGTAGTCAGGGTACATTGTCTTTGTTGTCAGGGTACATTGTCTTTGTTGTCAGGGTACATTGTCTTTGTTGTCAGGGTAAATTGTTTTTGTTGTCAGGGTACATTGTCTTTGTTGTCAGGGTACATTGTCTTTGTTGTCAGGGTACATTGTCTTTTGTTGTCAGGGTACATTGTCTTTATTGCCAGGGTACATTTTCTTGTCAGGGTAAATTGTCTTTGTTGTCAGGGTTCATTATATTTGTGGTCAGGGTACATTGTCTTTGTTGTCAGGGTACATTGTCTTTGTTGTAAGGGTACATTGTCTTTGTAATCAGGATACATTGTCTTTGTTGTCAGGGTAATTGTTTAACCACATATTCTGTCTAGTCATGCACATTGCATGTCAGATTGTTACATGAATGTTTATTTCTAGGGCACATTGTCATCTTTGCTTGGGGACATAATTATCAGGGCATGTTGTTACTTAGGTATGTTTTTCTTCTAGTCAGAATGTTGATTTGAAAAAAAAGTCTTATATTCAAGAACATCTGTAGTCTCAAATATGTCTAAATAAGATCCTGAATATACTGATATTCAGGGCAACAGAGGTCAAATGTTTCAACATAAAATATATTTTGCCAACAGTTTTAAATAACTGATGATTCGCACAGGCCCTTTGAACCTTTTGGTCCATTATGACCGAAATTTTATTTAAAATAATTCTAAAAGGTTTGATGTTCCTTTACTTAAATCTCTCTTAAAATATTTGGATGCTAATTTTTAATTTTACTTCATTAATTAATAAGTTATTGTAAGCTCACCTGGTCCTAAGGACCAAGGTGAGCTTATGCCATACCGTTGCATCCTTCGTCTGTCCGTATGTCAACAATTTCTTCAAAAGACTCTTAACCACTGATTGGAATTTAACTTAATTTGACTGGAAGCATCCCTAGGTGGTGGGGATTCAAAATTGAACAAATGGTGGGGCTGACCACCCAGGGGGCTGAGGGTCAGGGCGGGGTCAATTTGGCTATATTGCTATAAACGACTTCTTCTCTAGAGCTATGCACTGGATATCAAACAAATGGAGGGGCTGAAGCCCCTCCCCCCCTGGGGGGGGGGGAGCAAAAAGGGTTATTTGGCTATATTGCTTTAAGCAACTTCTCTGAAACTAAGCAATGGATATCAACCATATTTACCTAGTAGCATCCCCAGGTGGTGGGGGTTCAAAATGAACAAATGGTGGGGCTGACCCCCCATGGGTTTGAGGGGTAGGGCCAAAAAGTGTAATTTGGCTGTATATTGCTTTAAGCGACTTCTTCTCTGGAAATAAGTGATAGATATCAACAATATTTAGTTGGAAGTATCCCTAGGTGGTGGGGATTCAAAACTGTACAAACGGTGAGGTTGGATAGGGAAAATAATAAAATTGCTGTTAAATTGATTGTATTTTCTATCATTTGTTTATTTAGAAACATCCGGACAGACACAATGTGATGACAACAGAACAGGACTGGACCAAAGTATGGCCTACATCAGGAGTCTTTAGATGGTCCTCAGTACCTCTAGCTCTCCGTCAGGGAGTTATCAGGGTAAGTATGGCCTACATCAGGAGTCTTTATATGGTCCTCAGTACCAAGTCTTCAGTATCTCAGTACTGCCAGGCAGATTGTGATGTAAGGGGAATTACAGGCCACAGCATAGGTGGTATTCATGCAATACCTGCTCACAAGAGAAGATAACTCTGCAATATGCAAAGACGGAATAGCTATGGCATAGTACTGTTGTTTATTTACACTCACTGTTATATGACTGATTATTTGATAATATANTTCTCTTGTGAGCAGGTATTGATTGTTACGTCATTGCTTTGTGTGAAAAAATTACGTCGTTTTTCTCAAAAGTTGATGACGTTACTCTCACAAACCAATGACGTAACAATCAATACCTGCTCACAAGAGAAGATAACTCTGCAATATGCAAAGACGGAATAGTTATGGCATAGTACTGTTGTTTATTTACACTCACTGTTAGATGACTGATTATTTGATCATATATTTTTGATTTTGTATATTTAACCAATTTTCAATGTTGTTGTATAATTGACCTCATTTAATGATGCATAATTGACCTGAATTAAAATTGACCTCATTTAATATTGTTCCAGAATGAAACAGAAAACGAAGGCATAATACCAGACAAGGAGGGGAATACAGAATTGATAAAGGTTCCTAACTTCCTTCACCTGACGCCACCTCATGTGTGGAAGCACTGCCAAGCATTGAAGAGTATGTTTTGTTACCTACTTCATTTGTATAGCGTAACACTTTGCTCAGATTATCAAAATCCAGTTGATTTGATGAAGGTCTGCATTGAGATGAAAGTGATGCAAGGAACAAATACAAATGATATTTATTACGTTTTTGCCAGTGAAATATCGGATTCTATTACTAGAGTCTATCAACTTGATAAAACTGATATTTTCACACTGTGAATATATCACTTTTTGGTATTGACCAATCATAACAGTATCTTCTATTCCCTGCATTCAAAGGCAACAATTTTTTTTCAGATTCAAATGAAATGACAGAAGAATAAGTGGTTGTTATGGTAAATGTTTGGTACACACACTTAAGTATTTACATAAATATACCATTAATAAAAAAATTATAAGCAATCAGACCAGAAAATAGCAGAAAATGTCAGAATAGCGTATCCCATTCAAAATGGCGCGCAGCCTTGTTTTCAAGCATGACATCATTAGAATATGGCGCTAATTATTACGCTTTTGATTCATGCCCTTTTTTAATGCATTACTTTTTTTTCATGTTTTATGCTTCGAAAATGTAATAAAAAGAAAAATTTAATGGTGTCTTCAGTAATTTATAAAATAAATCATATTATAAACTTTATTTCACAATAAATATGAAACAACTTATTTCAACCTATATAAATCATTCTTGTTGGCCCCGATGTTAGCCCACAGAGGGTCTTAATGTGGGAGGAAACCAGAGTAACCAAAGAAAACCCACATAGTTGGGCAGAAGACCCCTATATCTTTTCATGTCCAATCGGCGTATCAAACCCTGATGGCCTTGATGAAATACGTATTATGCTTTAATTGTAAGGAAAGTGTAAGTTCAATGAGCCAATTACACATTAGATAGAATTTTAGGTAGAAACCTGCTAAGCATTCACTAATTAGCAAGACTTATTTGGAACAATCCATAAATCCATACGCATTAAGCCGATTTAACAAAAGATCTAATTATTCTGACTAATCAAACCTTGGGCGACGTATAAAGCACAAATACTAAAATCACAGGAAGATTCTGTCCTTGAGGTTTGATTTAACATGTTCGCTTTGTCAAGAGAGGGTGGTGTTATATTGAGTATCTTGACATAGGTGTCATCAGACAGGTTTTGTCGCTACTCACTGTTGCAAACCCAAACTTTTCAAAGGTAACAAGCAGCAACATTTACAAAAGAGCAGCAGTTCTGTGAAAAATGAGACCAAGTGTTGCTCGATTGTTTTTGTTAAATGTTTTGGACGACACTGAAGTCGGTTTGATCATCCTCCTCTGCATCATTCAGATGCTTGAATGAGACTGATTTATACTAGGGTAAGAAGTGAAGAACTGTAATCCACAGATATTTTTTACATTTTAAAACATTTCTCCATACTGTTTTGATCTAACAGTTGATGTATAAAGTTAGTGTTGGTCCATTGATTTTGTATGTATCATGGTGCACTACAATACAGGATCTGTATTGTAATATACCAGTATACCAGTATATTTGACACCTCTAGTTAGTGTTATACAGAAGTAAACTTTTAAATCTTTATCGTTAATGTTTACAGAATTCTGTACTCCATGGCCAGAAGGTTTGGACAGTAAAGAAGACTGTCGGCTCCATTTCCCTGTTGAGGTGGTGACCAGTGACTACTGCTTTGCAGGGCCATCAATCCGAGATCCACGGTCACGAGTTGTCACAGTCAAGGTCAGCTATTACATAAAATCTTATTTGGGAGATTAATTCAATTTTAGACAACTAGTCTGTTAAAGAGTCTTGTAGTGTCCAGGTCCTGTGTACCTTGTAATGAACCATGTACAGTTAATCACTTTATGATAGAATGTTTTGGTTTTCAATTTATCCCTGACGAGTTTAAAGATGATGATATTGGTTACTTATGTGCAAAAAAATGTTCTAACCATTTTAATGTTCTTGTTGGAAACTGGTTTATACTGTGAAGAGATTAACAAAATTGGCGGTTCCAACATCAATTATATTCCTACAGTTTGGACCTATATGATTTAAAGTTTGTTTCTGATCCATTCAAAATTTAAGTTTATTCTTAGATAGCTCTCTGTGTGTAGTTACAAATTCAAGTGATGTAGAATGTGAAGATTCTGATGGATGACTTTGAGATCTTCTGCTTCAGGTGAAGTTGTCTGATCTAGAACTGGATGAACATGCACGACATAAACTGCTGAAACTAGTCGGGGACCGGTACGACAAGGATAACGACATGCTCATCTTCAAGACAGACAAGTTAGTGCCAGAATCTTGCTGCCAAGTCAGAAAATCTAATCCATCAGATATCTCCATTTAGTTTCATTGTTCCATGATTTGAGCCAAAAATGTGAAAAATGTTAATACTTCATTAATAAAAACAGTGATCCTTCTTCATCAAGAAATAGCATGGATTGATTGATAGTTTGTTAACTTAAATACATGTAACCATTTCTAGCTTCTTTAGATCATTCCTATGTTAAGACAAATTTACTGATTCAGTGTTTAGGATAATGTGTAAAACTATTTTATGTGCCCTCACGATAAGATTTTTCAAAGTGCAGCACTCTGCATATCCTTTTGCTGAACCCCTTGGTTCTGCCTTTTTATCGCAAATGAATAACAGATACCATTAATCTTCGTTGTCTGATAATTGATTTTGTTTTCATTCGCAGGTGTCCAACTAAACAACAGAATAGGGATTATGCTATTTTTTTGCTGACTGCAGTCTACCTGGAAGCGTGGGTAAGTCTACCCTTCCACACTAAGACACCTGTATAACATAGATATAAACTGTATTTATTTTACAACAATAATAAAACAAGTATTTCAAGTTATATTAATCACTCTTGTTGACCCGGATGTTAGCGCACAGAGGGTCTTAATGTGGGAGGAGACTAGAGTACCCATAGAAAACCCTGTGATCAGGCAGGTGGCCCCATACCTTTTCTTGTCTGATCAGGGAATTGAATCCCGTACGTCTTGGTGAAAGGCTAGTGCGCTATCACTTTTTTTTTTCCAGTACTGACATCTTCATAAAGCTGTATGCAATTTCTTTATAAAAAATCCTTTTTTTAATCCAACCAGTTTATACGTTCCCACATGGTGTCAGGTTACAGAGATTTCACTGTAATTCTTAATGTATGTCCTGTTATTTTTGTTTACTAAAAGTAATACCATTGTAAACTGATCATTTTAGAAAAAGATGCCTTGGGAGGATGATATTGAGGGAGATGACTTCTTGGATTACCAATGGAATTTGTCCAAAGCCAAAGACAGGACTGTTCTCAACTTGATGTCTATGGCCGAGGGCGATCAGGTGAGCTATCTTTGTGTGAATTGAGATGAGGCATCCTTGTACAAGAGAGATCGGACATTTTTTTTTGTACATTTCTTTGGTTTATTTATACCCATGTTTAATAGGTAGGGAACACATTATCGAAATATTTTACTTTATTGAGTTTATAAATAAAGTATTTCCTTTTAACAAGAATCTGAATAATAAATCAAAAAGTATTAACATGTATGAATAGTTAATACTCACTTTTCATGCTTTATGAGGATTATTAAGGCTGCTTAGGTATAGTTATAATAAACTGAGGACATTAACACTGCAGTCTTAATGGGCACATAATGTTTCGCCTCTATGGCACTCTTGTTTATAACAGGGGTGCTCAGTTCATAAATGTTGTCTAAACTGAGAAACTGTGTTGTGGGAGAAAACTGTAATTACCAATTTTCTATTATTGAAAACCCACTTGTGTCAAAAATAAAGCTTTATGATTTCTGATTCAAATGAAATATTTTCATTTCCTAAGTTGGGAAATTGAGCATTTGCAAATACAGGTATTCCCAAAAAGGTGAGTTGGTGTAGTAAACCAAAATTATGCTATATACACAAACATTGTACAGATATAGATTTAATATAGGAGTTATTTATAGTAATCAATTTTTGATAGAATATGAGTCACATGATATCTATTTTTATCTTCACAGAACTCAGTTTATCACAATGAAGAGGAGAATGAAATTCTGGAAAAAGAAGAAGTCAAAAATTATGCGAAGGCAATTTCAAAAATTTACGACGATGAAGAAAGCATAGAAAATCTCAATGACTTAAAGCAATCGGCACTTAACATGTTACAGTTGAGGACTTCGTAGCATTAGTAACTAAAGGTCAACTCGGTAAGAAAGGCGGTGGATGGAATAGAAAGTGTGCTATTTATGAAAGGAAATCGAGTAATTATTGATTTGCAATTTTGAACAGAATAAAAACTACAGTGCTAATATTGTCTTTGTTTTAATTCATGAATCTGTGATTAAATCCTCTTCAAGCTATCATTTCTTGGTGTTTATCTGCATTTGCGTACATTTGTATATCTGAAATAGGTATTCAAGAATGATGTTTGCCAACTTATATGGTTACCTCAGGACACCATAATATATTTGGTCTATGGGATACCTAAGATCACAAGGTTAAAGTCATCAGGCTTTACATATTGGAAATATTAATTGTCCCCCGAGTTATTTTGACAAAAACGAATCTGTAAAGGTAAATGGAACAGAGTCAAAAATGCTAGAAGGACCTATCTTATATCATGAAGCAGCTTAAACTCTCAAAAAATGGAAAATAGCAAAAGTCCAGGTTCAGACGGCTTACAGTAGAATTTTTATGATGCTTTTGGAAATTTATTGGTTATTTGATATTAAGACCAATGGATAAAAACTTTTCACTAATTCTAACTCCGCAATTAATCAGGGAGGTAACCTAAGATAAGGATAAGTTAGCTAATTGTGGGACTGAATATATTGAACAGAGTAATGAGAACACTAATTACTTGTTTTTGAAAGATGTTTTAAAAGCGTGGCTAAAAGTAATACAGGCAAATAACACAAACAGCTATTATGAATCCTTTCTTAAAACTCTGATTCGGTTTAGTCAGGAAATAAAAATAGCACGCAAAACTATCTTTTACAAAGAATGGTATCTAAAAGCAGTCACGGTAAATGTCTTCCATATTAAGAATGTCAACGTAGATAAAATCAGATGTAATTTTCTGAAATACCAGGGCATAGTATCTGTAATTTCAAAGGACCTACATCAATTTCAACAATTTAATACATATATACAAGTACTGTACCCATATATCTAATTGAACTTAATACTTATCCTTAAAAGTAATAAAGAAGCAATATACTTTGTAAAAACAATATTATATCAACTGGCAAACAAAAATGGGAAAACTATAACATCAGTGATGAGTCATGAAAAAACATCTACAAACTTCCTTTCCGGATCACTAAAAATTCTAAACTACAATTGTTTCAGTACAGGATCAATCACCACATTCTAACTACAAACTCTCTTGTATTTAAAATGGAATTAGTTGAAAATTCATTTTGCTCTTTCTGTAAAACACATCGGGACTATTGAGCACGTTCTATGGGACTGCCAAGAAGTTAGAAGATTGCTTAATATTTTGAGAGGTTAACCCAAATTTTTCATATCAACTACACATTGAATAAAAAACAATTTATTTTTTGTATAATTGGTGCTGACGAACTAAATGCTAAAGTGGACATTTTAATAAACTTGGTAATTAAATATTATATCTATAAAACAAAATGTTTTAAAAATACATTATCTATGTTAGCACTTCACAATGGAATTAAGGAAACATACAAAGTACAAAAACAAAGGTTTCTAGGATATTGGAGAAAATGGTCCCCACTGATGGAGACACCCTGACAGTATGCCATATTATATGCACAATAACAGTGAACATTTTTATTCATAATTATAACTTTTTCAAACTCAAATATCTGCAAAGTTCATTTTATTGATATAAATGGTATACAATGACCTACTTAACAGTATACCTTTTATATATCAAAACCGGAGAATAGACAATGTCTGCACATAATTTATACTTATATATGTTAGTATTGTCTCATGTTTTCAAAAATATGTTTGTATACAAATTTGTATGAAGTATTTATGTTTTATGTTTTGTGGGATAAGGTAAGTAAATGAAAGAGTACACACACAGGTTATCAGTGTAACTCATTGTATCACTATGTATATATGTGTGTGTATGTTTGTAAAGATGTTATAGTATGTACCTGTTGTATGTGCCAATGTATCAGTGTATGTAAGTGTCTGTCCTTTAAGTTAGGTTCAAATGTTTTAGCATCTCCATCCAATTTATGAAATATGATGAAAGAAAGACGAATGTTGAATGAAAGCCTGCCTGTGAGAGAACAATACATTGTAAAGGGGATGATCCCAGGCATCCTCATCAAACACTTGCTGAGGGAGTTAAATACTCGAACCTAAAAACAAAAATGTTTTCTGACTATATTCATAAAATATTTTTTCCATGGTCGAATTAATATGCTATCCGTGTGCCAAGTGTTAAGTGTAAGGAACGCGCATTTAGAACATGATCATGTAAAGAGAAACACTATTTGAAATACAAAACAACGTTATTTTGGACCCATGTTTTAAAGTTACAGTTCAAGTACCGTCTAGTAGCTGCATTTGACACAATTCGGTGGCAACGGTGGGATATTTTACTTATTGAAGTATCAGTTTAACACAAGGAGAATGGCATTAGCATCAGTGATAAGTAGATTTTCGGAAATGAGGTTTGATTTAGGAGTGAAATTTTCATATGGAGTCAACGAAAAGAAAATTAATGAAATACAGAAATCACTGAAGAAACGACTCCCAGAACACCATTTTTGGAGGGGAAAAAGGAGAGTGATAGGAACCAAGATATATATGACAGCACCAACAATTTGTGAACTTTGAATGATCGAAAAGAAAATGAAATCAAAAACAAAATCAGGAAATCTCCGCGGGCAGGTAAAGTAGTTGGTACCAGGATATGTATAANTCATACAAATTTTTAAAATCATGTATGACATTGACATTCTGGACAAGGATTTCTTTTTTTTATCAAAATGGCAACATTGGCTACAACAAGAGGAAATTCAAAAGAAAACTCTTCAAGAGAAAGATGAGGCTCAATGTAACCAGGAACCTGTACAGTAGTAGGGTCGTGGACGTGTGGAACACTCTCCCAAATATAGTTGTAGAAGCCCCCTCCTTAAATAGCTTTAAATCTCAGTTAAACAATCACTGGCGTCATCATCACCAAATTTTTACCTACATGTTACTCACAACCGAACGTGATTAGAGAACAGTATATAGATGAGTCCCAAGAAGCTGGATCAGCTTACGTCGACGTCGACACTCCATGAAAACTACATGAAAACTAATCATTTTCCAATACAATTTAAGTAAGATAAAGAAAATGACTCAACAAAAATAATTTCCTTTGAATAGTTCGCGACATATTTGAAATTACTCAAAAGCGGGCATTGCGACCCAATTGTGAAAACGATAATTAAAGTAGATATTATCTAATAAGTATGGTTGTGGTGTGTTATAATGTTCAAGAGCATACACTTGAACGCTGAGTTACTGGACGATATCAGTCAAGCCAGCGAACGGAGCGAATGTCGTCCTCCACGACAGGCGATTGCTTTGATATTTGTCTCCTCCAAAAACCTCGAACACATCATGCACAGCACCAACATGAAATTCCCGAATAAAGGTAAGTTCATTCTCAATGTGATCAACACGGATATATGAAACGACACTACTGGGACTCATGAACCCAATTGACGTAACAGCTGGAAAAGTCCTCTCGTATGGTAAACGAAATAACATTATTCTTTTGGATATCAGGAAAACCCCACATGAAGCCCCCGACCACTATACTTAAACTTAGGTTCTACGGAATTCATGATCCTATCCTGTTTAGATCAGTTCAACGTTATACAAGAAATTGTTTTAAGAAAAATATTCAACAACGATTTTGCCGACAGCGTGAGTTGAAATTTCCTATTTAATGTTCCATAAAACCCTCCAAGATTATGAGCTTCTCCAAGAAAGCTCATGGAATATAATGTTATTTGAAAAAGGATTGCAGATGACTTGTACGCCAAGAAATCCTTCCCCATTCATTTAGCATGCCAAGCGATTACTTTTAAAAGCGGTTGGCAGCAACAAGCGCACACGCTAATGACAATTGGCCATCACCCCATTTTGACTACAACATATATATTATTCACTAGATTCGCTAGCAATGGAAACGGAAGAATTTGATTCCTGCATGCAGCAGAATCTATGGGACCCATATCAACAAAATCAAACTTATTTATTTATTATTTCATTTCAGACCGAGGATCCAATTACAGAATTGAAAGCAATGATTAATATAAAATAGTAAAATAACACAGATAAAGACATACATGTACTATATAAGATATATACCAACGTAGCATAAAATGCATAACAAAAGGAAAACACTCTTGGCACATCGTAGGGTCATAACCAGACTCGCTCGCACTCTTCTACGGAATTATCCCTGTCAATGNGAACAAGAGCCAGAATTCCTGAACATACGCTAGCATCGTTTCTCCTTTTCCTCATAAGAAGTCGTGACAGGTGAACATCAACAAACAGGTAAACAACCACAAAAATGTATAAATCCATGAAATCTAAATACGTAATTGAATCAATTGTAATATTGCACATCATACGTGACATAATCTTCAACTTGTTTATACGTACATGTAAATAATATTCGTCTCTGCACGGGAGTCTGAAGTTTAATCAATATTGGTATAACAATCTGTATATAAACAAAAATAAGTATACGGGGTATTTTTGTTTATATACAGATTGTTATACTCAGGGGGGACCCAAAAATTAATTTTGGGTGTTGCCCAAAGTTTTAAACTCAGAAAAAGACACAAAAAAATAAATAAACATGTACATGTATACTACTTACTTGCACCAAACAATATATAGAACTTCATTATTTCTGAGATTGTGACAATTATAATTTCCCTACCGGGCAGAGCGAGGCGATTTTTTTTCTCTGAAGATGTAATACTAAACTTGTTCAAGCACTGCCAAGCGTAGAAAGCAAGAATTTATTGGACAGTATTTCCATTGTCAAACAGATCGAATAAGGCATAGAATAGTTTTCTGAGTTTGCGGTATTATTCCAGGTTATATTTTATAACATAGAGTATTTATATTTTATGATGGCCGAGCGGAGCGAGTGTTAACAAATTCTCTGAAACAATGGTAAAAATGTAGTTTTTTTGGTTAAAATGTTGATGTTTGTGTTATGCCTTTCATGTGCATGTTCAATGTGTTTAGGCGAGCATTTTGGCAATTAAATATTTATTTATTTTGTCATAAATAT